AAAGTGTATCGGGACCGAACGCCTCAGGCCAAGAGAGTTTACACAACCTGCTGCCATTAATCCTTCCTTTCACCCTTTAAAAAAAAAATCTGATTGTGCCATAATGATGCCAGTCAGGTGCAACTTTCTCGTTAAGCTCAGTAAAAGCTGAAGGCACGGTGCTGAGGTACGTTGCTTCCCAGCTGTGGGTTTGCTTCTATGTTTCCCAGCTGGGAAACAAAAATATTCACTTCCTGTTGTTTGGTTTGTTTTCCGTTCTCGAGGAAAAAAAGTTCAGCTTTTGGTTTTAGACTCATTTCCATGTTAAGCTCTTTATTTTAGCGTGGAGGCTCTACTGGGGCATCATCTTTCTCGAAACGTGCTGATCGTGGGACTAATGGCATCCTTTTGTGGCAGCTAATGACTCCATTACTCATCAGAACAGCCTGGATTCTCAGGCCTGAGCGGCTCTGTTCTGAGCAGGGTGGCAAACGCCGACTTAAATCGGAAGAGGGTGTGTCCCCGAGATGAGGCCGAGCAGAGGAACAGGCTTCAGAGAGAAAACTAGGGTTCTCGGCTCATGGCCTCAGGCACGTAGCTCAGATTTAAGAATGAGTTAGCGTGTGAAGATAGCGTGTCTTGCAGCAGACCACGCCTGCACCTGTCAGGTGCTCTGTGGCAAGCTGGGGCTGTGAAGACCGTGTGTGGCTGCATGCGATCTGCGTGAGTTCACCCTCTTCTTGTTGCACGCATCTGCATACTGCACTGATGATTGATGCGTGTGATTTTACCCTCCTTGTGCAACTGATCTCTAGAAACAGTTAGTGTTTCTCCTGCAGGGAAAAGCCTCAGCAGAGCTCTTCCTGCTCCCCGAGGGCAGCTCATTGGTTCGATTCAGAGACTTTTGCTGCAGCTGAGGTGAACCGTGGCTGCGCCGTTTGGGTCCCGTGAGCGTTTATTCCTTGCAAACATCAAAATGTGATTTGTACAAAGAGCTTCCTGTCAGTGACTCAAGTGATGACAGAGAAGTGTTTTGCAACTTTTTCTCACACCTCGCTCTGAAAGCCAGCTCTTGTAAACCTCGGCAGAAGTCGTGTTTACAACTTTTGATGTTAAAGAAGAGGTTAAACACTTAAGATGTGAATATCGTCACATTCTGCAAACGTGGTCGCAAAATGCTTTTTGCAGAAACATTACAGGAACGATGGTTTTATGACCTGTCAGAACCATCTCAGCTACTGGAAACACAGCACAGAGCCAACGTGTGTGTTTTAGTTGTGTTCCCATTCAAGTTACAGAAAAATAATCATACATCTAAAGTCACCCAGAACCATTTTGTCATAAACAAACAACAGGATCAAGCATGGACGTAGTTTTTTAGGGGGGGGGGGGACATGCATCAGCCCCAGGTTTTCTCTCAGTCCTGCTGTCCGGACTTTGAGGCTGCTCCACTGCCTACCTGAAGGAAGGAGGGTGGATAGTTAAGAAGCTTTGTGATGTTTTTCTTGGTTCTTGTTGTTTTGATGTAAACCTTCTCGAGTGTTCTGCGATGACCACTTTGCAGCTTTCCTTCTCTATCTCAGTTAAAAACACATTACTACTTTTATTTGATCCTTTTTGCTTCATTTTAAAACAGTTTTAGCTTTTACTAGAAAATTTATCAATACGTTTAAAGACTGTATCAATGTGTTTTATGATGATATATGAAACGATCCAAGTGAAGCTGCACAGAGAGCAGAGGAGCTTCAATCAGATCAGTCCAAGCATATTCTAACAAAATTAATTAGAACATCTTTAGAACAACGTTCCTTATTAGACAGATAAACAATAATCTGAATCTGTGTGGATTAACCCTTTAAATCCTGATCAGCTTGAAAACATCATCATCATTAGAGATTGTATAACATTAATATGTACATGTTTATATTATTCTTATTATTCTTATTCTTATTCTTATTATTATTATTATTATTAGTAGTAGTAGTAGTAGTAGTAGTAGTCGTAATAGTCATAGTAGTAGTGGTCATAGTAGTAGTAGTAGTAGTGGTAGTAGCAGCAGTAGTAGTAGTAAAAGTAGTAGTACCAGTAGTAGTAGTAGTAGTAGTAGTAATAATAGAAGTCATAGTAGTAGTAGTAGTCGTCGTAGTAGTAGTCAATAGTAGTCGTCATAGTAGTAGTAGTAGTAGTAGTAGTAGCAGCAGCAGCAGCAACAGCAGTAAAATTAGTAGTAGCAGCAGTTGTAGCATTAGTAGTAACAGTAGTAGCAGTAGTAGTAGTAGCAGCAGCAGCAGCAACAGCAGTAAAATTAGTAGTAGCAGCAGTTGTAGCATTAGTAGTAACAGTAGTAGCAGTAGTAGTAGTAGTAGTAGTAATAGCAGTAGTAGTGTTAGTAGTAGCAGCAGTAGTAGCAGTAGTAGTAGCAGCAGCAGTAAAAAAAAGTAGTAGTAGTAGTAGCAGTAGTAGTAGTAGTAGCAGCAGTAATAATAGTAGTAGCAGCAGCAGTAATAGTAGTAGTAGCAGCAGCAGTAATAATAGTAGTAGTAGTAGTAGTAGTAGTAGTAGTAGTAGCAGTAGTAGTAGTAGTAGCAGCAGTAATAATAGTAGTAGCAGCAGCAGTAATAGTAGTAGTAGTAGCAGAGTTGGCTCCTGACCTCCGGGTAAACGAAAGGTGAGTCATTTATAAAAAGGGAAAACAACAAGGGTTCTAATATGGAACCTTGGGGGATGCCCCACTGAAGAGTTAAGAATGACAATAACTCCGGATATACTTTCACTCACTGTTCCCTATCCCTAAGGTATGAAACAAAACAATCTACCATCTAAAAGGAGATGTTGCTAAAAGCAAGCTGTGATTTTCACCCTCAAAGGCTTTTTTACGGTCTAGGAAAACTGTGCCCACCACCATCTTCCAGGAAACAGCAGGTTGCAATTTCGGTTAAACAAGCTGATCGAAATCCAAACTGGAACGGATGAAGAAGCTAGTTAACTTCCAAGTGGTTGGCTAGTTTCTCTGTTACAACTTTCTTGATCACTTATGATAGTATAGATAAGATGGATATCGCCGGTAATTACACATAGAATCCTTGTTTCCGGCTTTGAAAACAGTTACGACGTTTTTTTTCCCAGGCAGTTTCATTTGTTGTGTCAAAAGTTCAAACAACTTTTATTGTGAAGCATAAACGATCATCTGTGAAACACACACCGGCTGACACTAGATCAGTCGTGTTTACAGATGAGAGGGCAGAAACAGCTGACGAGTGAAAACAAGCTGAGTCCTTCACAAAAGGCAGAGGAACCAAAGTCTTGATTATGAAGGAAGACAAGATGGTTTCTTGTTCTGATCTCAACATGAACATGATGATTTTCACTTTTCTACCAACAACAGCTGCTGCTGGACTCGTTCGGATCATAAAAATACCAACCATTTCAAAGTAAAAGTCTGACTTCTTTAATCAGGCTAATAATCACTTTGTGGCCTCATGGAAAATTATAAACAAGAATAATCCTGAGCTTTACACTGGAGGGGCTTAAAGTTGGGGTCATGACCTCACTGTGGATCATGAGACATCAAGAGTGTCCAGAAATCAAATCAATGGTAAAAAAAAAAGAAATAAAAAGATGTTAATCTGCAGATTTTTGTTCCAGTTACTTAAAACAAACGGAAGACAGTGATGATAAATAAAAGTTGTAGTGAGTTAGCTAATGAACCCAGTTTCTAAATAATGAGATTTTGCTTTCCGTGAACGGCGTTGAGCCATTTCTTCTAAATCTATTCTTTATCTATCGATCAATTATGAAGAATATTGAAATTATTCCTCCCAACGGTGAGTAATTATCTGTTTTATGTTTAAATTTATGGATGGGTCCTGAACTTGGTGGTTTAAAGTTAAATATGTAAAATCACTTCCTTTTGTGATGTCTCATTGAAAATGAATGGCGGAGAGGCGATGTTGCCTCCCGTGTGTGGAGCTCATTACTCAGCGCGGAGCACGTCCGAGGGAATTTTTCTGGAAACCTTGGCTTCAGTCCAACAGCACACTTCCTTGGTGTCATGGTAAAAGTGTGAATAAGGATGGAATATTTTCTGAGTGGAAAGAAGAGGCGTGTCGACGCGGCTGAGTTTTAGGGTATTTTAAACGCCGAGCTTACAACTTTAAATGACAGTAAATGGTGACTGGCCTTTGTTTGATATAGTGACCTGATCGTTGGTCTAAGAGAGAATAAAAGAAGTACGTGGAGAATACTGAGTTGAGTTTATAAAACACACATGTAGAAAGCATGGGGCCACAGTGGTTCAGTGAGAAAATTCCTCGCGCTCTAGGAAACATCTGGATGATCTCAGCCTGTTTTATCTGTGTGCTCATCTAAAACAGTCAGTCACACAACTCACCTGAGAGAGCAACACAACAGATCTGGTGTCTTGAGGCCCTGGAACGAGGACCTGGTGGAGAAATGAGCTTTAACAGGTTCTGGTGAATGATCGATGCTGTTCTCTTCTCAGGCATCAGCAGAAACATCACACAACTCAATAAAAAGAGATGTTCTGAGAGAAGTTACTGACCTGGATCAACTTTGTAATGACTTAAGCTCGGACGCAGGAACCACGTGAAAACAAATGTTAAAACTGTTGATGCTGGCTCACCAGTGTCACCAAAAACACCACCAGTGGTTGCTATGGTTACCATGGTAAATGGTAAATGGTCTGTATTTGATATAGCGCCTTCTAGAGTCCTGGAACCCCCCAAGGTGCTTTACAACACAATCAGTCATTCACCCATTCACACACATTCACACACTGGTGGGGATGAGCTACGATGTAGCCACAGCTGCCCTGGGGCGCACTGATAGAGGCGAGGCTGCCGAGCACTGGCGCCACCGGCCCCTCCGACCACCACCAGCAGGCAAGGTGGGTTAAGTGTCTTGCCCAAGGACACAATGACAGCAACAGACTGAGCGGGGCTCGAACCTGCAACCTTCCGATTACGGGGCGAGCACTTAACTCCTGTGCCACCGTCGCTGGTAATCCCAGAGTGTTGCTGCAGTCACCATGGGAACCACCCGTGGCAGATAGGGTCATGGTCATCAACGCGCTGACCTGTCAGTGTCACCATGGTAACCCCAGAGAGTCATCATGGTCGCTATGGTAACCCCCCGACTCATTGCGGTCACCATGGGAACCACCTGTGTCTAATTAAGGTCACCATGGTGTAATGAATCAAAAGGGTAAAGTTTCACCGTAGAATTGACACAGCATGACCTTTCAGACACGCCAGAGCTGCAAAGTCAAGGTTGCACCAGCTGGAGGATCCAGACGCACAAATCAACCTTTTTCTCACTCATCGTTCTTCAACGCAGATATAAATAAACTGTCATGGTCTCCCGCAAAAGCCTTATCTCTCTGCCCCAGACTGCTGGATTCCTCTCTCGGAATGAAAGTGAATGCACACGAATCCTACCAGACTTTCCAACGTATGGGTTAAATAGTCATATGATGAATGAACAAGATGTTTAAATCAAATGTTTGAACAATCTGTGCTTAAATCAATGAATTTGAAATGAATATTGTTCTTACAATGACAATGCTGCGTGTTTGATTTAACAAGTTCATCATAGTTTACACTCACACACATTACAATAAGATACATGTTAAGGTTAAAAACATTTTTTGTATCTGAAGGAAGGCGTGGCTTTCTGAGGAATGTTCGGTAAAGCCTTCCAGACATGGCACATTGTGATTAGCCAGAATGGCCAGAAACCATAACAAAGTAGTTTGACAAAACAAGAATTACTTCCCGAGTAATTCAGTTTCAAGCGGAGTTCCGAACCGGCCAATTCGGAACAAGCATCCTTGAGACAAACATCTCTTTTGACATACAGGCAAACCTGTTTTCACGCTGCAAGCTGACACAGCCAGACGGCTCCCTAAGAGCCACATCCACTTTGGATGCAAACAAGCATTCCAGCTACTGTTGTGACCTGGAGACATCTCAAGACTGGACGGGTCGTATCGGGTTTAAACTACGAAATCCCGATGCCGTGAGGTCCACCCGACTTTTGACTGTCCGGATCTGCTGGGGGTCTCCGCCAGGGTTTGCAGACACAACAGATTGTGTCTGATGCTGTTTTATTAATAATCAAATCTCTAGTTTGTAGCAGACAACAAATTCTTTTACACCCAGACTTCATAATTTCTTTCAGATACAAAGATTCTGATAAACATCTAGCTTACATCACACCACCTACACATCACATTCCATCACCGCATATCCACTCCATCACATCTCATTTTTCATATCATGTCATGTATAATCATTAGTTTAGAATTACTATATACTTGACTCTGAATGTCTGAATTATTACGAAGTGTGTTTATGATCCCTAAACAAGCAAAAGTAACTATAATCTTCTGATTAAACTTCAAAGATCAATCAGGTTGATATTTCATATTTATATGGAATCATCACATCTTATTGATCATAATTAATCTGCAGTCATCACGCTATAAAGTGTGACCGCTACAACGGTAACCATCATTTCATTTACTCGTTTACAGAGCAGCTTCCACAACCCTTAGCAGTAGCCCAAGGTGCTGAACACAACAATAAAAACCAATCACACTAACAAATAAAATAAAAGATAGACACACAATAAACACGGATAAAAGAGAAAACAGCTAAAGTTGCAAACCCCAGAGGTGAAAACGCCTCCGCATAATAACAGGCCCTCAGACGGGACTTAAAAATCTGGAGGGAAGAGACCGTTCCACAGAGTTGGAGCCAAAACATCAGATTACACCGTCAGGTGGCCCTGTTTAAACTCGGAATGACGTCTGTCAGCGCATTATTGCTAATGCTACCGTGTCCCCCCCACTTTAGAAGTCGGGGGGACACGGGGGGGGGGAGGGGGGGGGGGAGGGGGGATCTTTACAGTATGCTCTAATGGGAAACAGGCTTCAACATAAACGGTTGTTTTCTGCTTGGTCCTAGAGCTCAACCAGTGTCAATTTAATATAGCGTAATATTGTTTTCAGACGGTAAAAAGTGCAGGGGTCAAAACTTGACTTCGGAAAAAGTGTGTGTGGGGGGGGGGGGGGGGCATGTCCCCCCTGTCCCCCCCCCAAAATTACGTCCATGTGTCAGCGTATCTGAGCTAAAGGGGGCGGGGCTTTCTCACCCGGTTCACCCAAATCCCACTGATGTCTACGGGGACATTTGCTGTAGTTTATTTGTAAGTTTTGTCCACGTTGAGCAACTGATTGCCACTTTTACTTAAGTGCTGTTCGTAAGTTACGGGCTTCACAGATGTGCGCTAACGCGTTCTGGTTGCTCCTCCTCCATCACCTCCTGCTGCTGGACAAGCGCTGAGGGAAATGCGATAACCTCTTGTAGTCTCTCGCCTTTTGCTCACTGACACGATTCCAAAACAGGTTCTTCCTCCTGATTGCAGCTTATCCGTGTGCTACTGTCAGCAGTGACCGCACGGCATGGGGCGGAGCCTCTAGATGGTGAGAAGTCCATCAAGAAACACAGGCACTGTTTATACATAAATTCTTTATGTAAAATCCATGGAAACTTGAATTATTTACACACAGCAGCAGCAGATTTTGTGAATGAGGCAAATGTTAAAAATGCAACAGGCTTCAAACCCGACCGGAACATGAGAACCTCCTGTTTTGTTTCAGTCTTTGAACCCACCGCCATCTCTCTGATGGCGTTCAAGCCCAGACAGGATCCTAGCTGACAGCTTGTGACCAGGAATCATCCCTCCAGCTGTCTCTGCCTAAGTGTCTGACCTCTGACCTGTGATGTTTTCATAATTGCACCCAGTCACGCGATGTCACACTGAAGGTTACGAGTGAAAGCACGCTAACATCCGCCTGTCTCTATGCTAATCTGTAAATTGCATGAAGAAGACTGAGGAATATCAGGCCCTTTTATGTGCTACTGAAGACACGCGCTTCACTTCTGAATCGACTCTTTCAGGGATCACCTGTGACTTGACGCCCTCTGCTGGCTAAGCATGAAACTTCACCTTTTCTGCTTTACGGTTTAAATAGAAAACAGTTTCTTGAAAAATCCTTTTACATTTCGACGAAGCCTCCTTCAGTTGGACTGAAATGTGTGAGAATCTCTTTAATGTTTGTGGGATTTAAAGGTTCCAGATGCACAGGTTCATCACCAGCAAAGCTGCAGACTCTGGTTGTTTTAAACCAAACCTGAAACTGTCAAGACTCTACAGACATAACCTGTTGGAGGTTTTGCGTTTGTCTCAGAGAGCTGCATGGCTTGGACCTTCAGATGGGGGCAGAATGGGTTCAGATCCTCCCTCCTGGCATCGGAGCTCCCAATGAGAAACTCAAGAAGAAGAGCTTTGAAGAAGTTGAGCTCAGAGGCCCACTCTTTCTTCCTCTTGCGTCTCAGCGTTCCCTCATCCTGAGTTCACAAACAGCAATGACACACCACCCACACTGGTTAGAAGAGAGTTCACCCAACGCAGCTGACATCGTCTCCAACAGATCTGGTCTCTTTCAGGGCTTCTTGAGACTCCGAGCAGGTGTGTGGGGGTCAGGAGTTCAGCAGGAGGTCCTCCTGTCCAGAGCTCCACTCTCCAAAGTCCTCCTCACCGCTGGACTGAGGAGGACCATCCAGAGACTGTCCTCGCCGCTCAGCAAACACCTTCTCCTGGAGCTCAATGATGTCGTTGCGGATGTCGGCCATCATCAGCAGCAGGAAGTCGAAGGATCCGGGTGGTCCCTGGAGATAAATGACGACCAGAGGAATTTAATCTGAAAATCTAATTAGGACAGCAAATTAAAAGGTGAATGCAGATGTTTTCACACTTACAGGCGGGCCTCTTTGACCAGGAGCTCCTCTCTCCCCCTGCAGACAACAGCAGCACAAAGAGGACACCATCTAGATTTGATCACTAAGAGTTTATGGAGCATGTGTAGCAGCTCTGGCTTTTGTGTTCATGACAGAATCACATCCTCTGCAAAGGAAAGCTGAGCTGAGACACAGATGTTCCAAAAATCCGACACAAGGGCCTAAGAGTCAAACAGGATCAGGACCAGAGACGGCGGACAGCCCGGGAGGGGTCCGACCTGCACCAGGAACCAGCTCAGAGGCAGTTTGGATTTGGGACAAAGCTCAGACTCCTCGTGGATGCCCGGGGGGTTGTAACACATCTTCAGGTTCCGATAACAGATGTGAACTGGACCCTGGAAAATCTGATCCACCGTTTGTCGACCAGAATTCAAGTCACACTGAGCCCATCGCACCTTCATCCCTCTTGTAGGACCACCATCCCGGTTAGCTACAGCGCAGGTGTTGTCCTGGTCCTCCCGGCGACATTAACGAAGAACGTCAATAACGACCGTCCAAAAGGTCCCACAGGCGTCAGCAGCTCAGTGAATCACCGGGGAGACTTGACTACTTTAACCGTCCTGCTCTTCCATCAGAGCCTCATTTATAATCCTACAGATTCTGGACTTGATTTAAATAATCTGGATTAATTTGAACCTACAGTTAGATCAGATTTTCACCGTTTGTCTCTGCATTTGCATATTTACATGACCTGAGAACCTAACACTTAAGGGGGCGACGGTGGCGCAGGAGTTTAGTGCTCACCCCGTACTCGGAAGGTTGCAGGTTCGAGCCCCGCTCAGTCTGTCGCTGTTGTTGTGTCCTTGGGCAAGACACTTAACCCACCTTGCCTGCTGGTGGTGGTCGGAGGTACCGGTGGCGCCAGTGCTCGGCAGCCTCGCCTCTATCAGTGCGCCCCAGGGCAGCTGTGGCTACATTGTAGCTCATCCCCACCAGTGTGTGAATGTGTGTTTGAATGGGTGAATGACTGATTGTGTTGTAAAGTGCCTTGGGGGTTCCAGGACTCTAGAGGGCGCTATATCAAATACAGGCCATTTACCATTTATTTATTTTAATTCTGCAGTCCGGTCCTGCTTTTTTCAACTACGTCGCATCTCGCGCTTAAAGTCAACAATCAAACGACCTCAGCTGGAGTCTGTTGTTCCCGCCTTTGTAACTACACGTTTAGACTATGCCAACTCAGCCTCTCAGCAACCGAGCGTCTACAGAGAAAGCAAAATGCGGCGGCTAGGCTCCTGACAAGCACCTTGAGACGCTGTCACATCTCCGTCCTTGCACGCTTGCACTGGCTGCCTGTTAAATACCGCATCCAATTGAAGGTTCTGACCTTCGTCTACAACATTCTGAATGGTCAAGCCCCGGCTTATCTTTCAGAACTGATAAAGCCTTATGCTCCAACCAGGAACCTGAGACCTGCAGATCATTTGCTTTTGTGCGTCCAGAAAATGAGGCATAAATCTGGTGGAGAGCGGGCGTTTGCGTTCGCCGCTCCTAAACTCTGGAACGCTCTCCCCCTTTAGAGTTCGACAGGCCCCAGAACTGGGTCGATTTATGTCGGTACTGAAGGCCTTCTTCTATCATTTAGCTTTTATTCAATGATCTAGTTTTTAGTGTTTTTACATTTTATTGTGACTCTGTATTTTATTGTTGTACGTTTCTTTTACAGTTTTTTTTTAGATTCGACCTCCTACCTCCTATATGACTTTTATCTGTTTTTATCTTGGGGTTTGTCCTTTTTACTGTGCAGCACTTCGGTCAGCTGTCATGCTGCTTTTAAATGTGCCATAGACATAAACATGGTATGGTATGGTGACACCCTGATTGTTTTGTTCTTTGTTTTGGTTTCATGATTGTTTTTACAGAAATGTTTTCATTTAAATATTTGCTCTGCAGACGGTGTGACTTTCAGTCTCACTGTGCGTGTGTAAAGTGACTTAATCTTTCTCTAGAGAAGGTGTGTGCAGGAACTAGTCCGTTGGTTGACCAACCTTTAGTCCGTCTCTCCCTGGCGCCCCTGGTGGTCCCTGCAGGACAGAATAATCTCAGTGCATCAATAACAACCCAGACTATAATCCCAGAATGCTACAACCTGTGCTTTTCATCATGTAACTGTGATGTTGATGATTTTAGAAAAACCAGCCTTTATCTTACCACTGGCCCCCTGCGACCCCTCTTTATATGAGTCAGGTCTGGTTCTGGACCCGTGGGCCCCATATCTCCTCGTGGACCCCTTGGACCAGGAGGACCCCCCTCCCCCTGTTCTCCTGGGGTTCCTGGCTCTCCTGGGTGTCCTGGTGAACACACATGGTTGATGCTCTTAGGATCAGTAGCTTTCTCGACACGTAAACCTTCCTCCATATTTTAGTTTCCTCTTCCTTACCTGGAACCCCTGGAACTCCTGGAGGGCCGGGTAGACCAGGGAGACAAGAGCCATCGGGGATCTTTCCTCCCCGTCCCAGAGACGGTTTGTCGCTGCTGTTCGCCAAACCGGAAACCTGCAAACAGGAAGGAATGAATATAAACTTCCACAATTAGACAACGTCCTTTTAGGGTTTCATCACTTTACATCAGTCAGCAAATCAGATCAATCAAACTAAAGAGCAGCGAGCTGCAGCAGAGCTCCGTCTGGTTACCTGGTTGGGCGACTGCGTGTTTCCCAGCCTCAGCTTGAGCTGAAGCAGGTTGGTTTTCATGCTAATGAAATCCTGACAGGTGAATGAGCAGGTACCGGAGCTCATCAGGGTGTCCGACTTCCCCGAAGAACTCACTGCACGACAAAACAGATGCGTTTTTTAATAAAGTTGTGATGCTGTTAGTCAGCTCTCAGAGAAGGGAATACGAAAGCAACGTGTTTGTTTTGGTGATTTAACGTTCAGAACTGCCAGAGTCGAATCATCGAGTTTACAACTCCTATAGGCAACAAAAAAAAAGCATCTTTCAATTATAACAAACACAAAAATATTTTTGGTGAATTTTTTTGTTTGTACTGCTATTATTATTAGATTATTCAGTCTGGCAACACTCCATTGACAGTTCTCAGTCATGGGGCAGATTCTACCATTGTCTTTCAAACGATCTCCGCTCGACTGGACAACGAACAATAAATGTCTGTAAACCTGGATCTCTGGGACTTGGGAGCTCCCTCCATCTCCTGTGCATCTTTGCGGGGCAGATCTGTGGCCCTCACACTCTCTGTTGGACGCTCCCATGGAGAAACCTCTGATAAGTATGGACTAGGGCATTTTCAACACATGTCTTAAGGCTGTGGTTGACACCAAATGCACTGTGATTTATTATCGTGTGATTATTCAGTTAAACAATGTTGATTTTATGTTTATGTTTATTTTTATGTTTATGTTTATTTATTTGGCAGATGCTTTTATCCAAAGCGACTTACAATTTATAACCTATAGGGCACTCTGTGGTCTGTGGGGGGAAACCAGAGTACCCGGAGGAAACCCACACATGCATGATTTTATATTTCCTCATCAGGTTGACACAGTGATAGCTTGCTCCTGTTGTATTGTTGTGTGTTATTTTTCTCTTTCTGCAGGTCTAGAAGCAGACTCTTGTTCATCATTGATTGTTTATTTTTGTGTGATTGGCCCACAAAGCTGACGGTATGCTGCGATTGCCTCACCATTGTGGCCAACCAGAATGCTAGTAGGAGCTGCAGAGGTTCCAAAGGAGCGTTCTTAGACCAAACTTTGCAAAGCAGTAATTTGGTCTAGTTTACTACGCTAGGAATAAGCTGGTTATTCTGTATATTCAGGTACTCAGCTGTCCTCATCCTGCAAGCCCAGATCATAGCACTGCCCCCACAGGCTTGTTCAGTAGGCACTAGGCATGATGGGTGCATCACTTCATTGGCCTCTCTTCTTACCCTGCTGCACCATCACTCTGGAACAGGGTCCATCTGGACTCATCAGACCAGTTTTAATAATGGGCTGGACAATTCTTAAAGAGCAAGTCACCCCCTACCAGAGTATTACTCCACTCCCACTTCCTGTTTGAAAAATGCAACAAAAGCCTAGCAGACTGAGAGGGCGGAGCTGCTAACAAAGACACACACACAGGCTCACAACGACATTGTGACATCATATGGTACCAGCTAACGCTTTAGGGTACCTCTTAGCCAATAGCGATGGTAGATTTAAATTCAAACGCAGTGCAGAGCTTTCACCTGACAACGGCACAACACTGACAGTTTTAGGCAGAAAATGAAAATTTTAACTAAAATGCACTAAAGAGCAAAACTATTGACAACACGTGTCTGCAGCACGATTAGACACGCATTTATATAGTTTATCAGAAAAAAAGTAGATTTGGGGGTGACTTGCTCTTTAACCCAGTTTTAGTCGTTTCTGCATCTCCTTAGATGTTTTCTCTGCTTGATGCCAATGATCTGACCCTTCTCACACAGACTAACATCTTTTCCACGACCACCAGATGTGTCTTTTTACCTGGTTGTTTAAGAAATGAGAAGCAGCTCAGTGCACTACTTGGGTTAATTAAGTTGTTGCAGCTGAAAGATAATCGCCCTGCAGTAAATATCCAATAGGAGACTCCCACCAACTTAGTTACATCCAGGTGGAGAATTTTGTTTGGGCCGAGGGGTGTGTGATAAAGTGGTTTTAGTCAGAGGTGGAGCTTAAAGTCCCTGCAGACCAAAGTTCTGGTTTGGTGAGTGCTGTGGTCCACCTGCTTATGCCCCAGTCAGGCTTGTGGACATCAACCAAGGTTCTCAGGTGATCCCAACTTCTCCAGCAGTGCCTGGCTGCAGGTATCTCTAAACACCTGGACTCAGAAGCCTTCAAGGGGAGGGACTATCAACACTAAAGAGCCTCACAGTCATTGTTGTGTTGCTAAAGTTTGATTAGCTTTGATTCTAAATAAAATTTTCATGAAGTTTTGCACATCTAGGTAAACGTTGGGAGCTGAGTTTGCTCCATGTTGAGGAAAGGGAAAAGTGCACACTTCAGGAAGTAAAGGAGAAACTCACGGTTGTGCACAAGGATGCAGGACCGCTGGTCTGCTGCCAGGAAGTACCCAGTGTGACAGCGGCACTGGAAGCTGCCCATGGTGTTCACACACTCATGGTCACACACACCTCTGCCGGAGTCCTCACACTCATCTATATCTGTTCAGTGTTGGTGACGATCAAACAGTTACAAGCAGATCTACACACGTGTGTGTCATGGATTGATTCAAAAAGCAAGAGGAGCTTCTGGTGGTCAAAAACCGACCCAAGCAGTAGGGAGATTTGTGGTTTTGGTGTCTGTCCCGGTCGAAGCGGTAACCAGGGTAACACGTGCAGACGACCCGTCCAAAGTTATCGGTGCACTGCTGCTCACAGGGAGACGCGGCACAAACGTCCACACCTGATCAAACAAACAAAACAGAGACGGCAGCTCAGAACATTTACCACATCGTCCATGAAGTCCCATACCTGGAGAAGAAAAACACTCACAGGGTCGCGAGAGAATAAGGCTTTATAAAATAACTCAAACATGCAGAAGAGATGTGATCATGATCATTGATTAAAACGCTAAAATACTGAATAAGCACAGGCAAGCTTTAATCCTAGATGGATAAAAACTCGTAAAAATGACCAGAATATCAGGATGTTTGCTGTTGTAGCTCTAGAACGCAATACAATCAAATCTGTGACTAAATACTTCAGCCATTCATTTCACCACATTTCCAAAGTGGCTTTTCCATATAATAAAATGCTTTATAAAATCATCACAGTTATTAAAAGCAGATTTTTTAAATTGTTTAGTGTTTTGTTGCATTTTGAAAGCTTCCCACTCCTCATATCTGATCCCTTCGCGCCTCATTTCAAACCTCATATAACAACTTTGCAGCACTTTGCTCTTTAATGTGAAAGAAAAACAGAATTAACCAGAAAATAATGTTTTAACCTCACTGTGACTTCATCTCCCTGAAGCTCAGCTGTTTACATAAACTTTAGCGGAGGTGTGTTCACCAGCACTGCCCTCTAGTGGCCAATCTGTGTTACTGAAAAGTGATTGTGATCTCAGGTCCTGGAAGAGCAAAGCATGAAGACTGTCTGGTTTACTCACTTTCAGGTATGCACTGGCCCATCACAAACCTGAACCCCTCACAGCACTTCCTC